TAAATCCAACTGGATTATTATTATTATAAATTATTGAACTAATCGTAGCATCCTGCTATACGATGAATTTTAATATAATTTTTAAGATGAACGTCGATACGTTTATATGGCAGTTCATCAAAATTAATTAGTCGAAATTAATTAATTAGTAATTTGTTCATTATATAATCGCTAGAAAGCAACGGAAAATATTTAGGAATTGTCGATATAGATTCGTTAATAGCTATTTGCTACTTACTGACGTTTAATACTTACTAGTGTAGATAAGGTAGAAAATGTTTGACATTTTCGTCCTTTACAAGACATTTATGAGATTTTTCTGCGAAGTTTCGTTTCGTTTATTTTCCCACTCTCGAGAACGTACTTCGCTTATGTTCTGAGGCAACTTGTAACCCATTTACTCGAATATCTCATTCTTTTGTAACCTCGCGAACATTGTTTTCCGGAGGAGATCTTTATAGGTCAACGAGTATACTACATCTTTAAACGAAGGATCGGACTATGCCTGTGGAGAAAGCTGACACCTTTCTACCTTATCGACTGTGTCTCTAGAGTTTGCAAAGCTTTTGAGCTTGCGAGCTTTATACTCCTTGGCCAGCGTTATAACGCTCCCGTTGTTCTCTAGAGTGCGCTGCTTGATGTTGCCTGGTTCCTAGCGAGATAAGGATCCTGGTAACCTTTAAGCTTTCTTATCTGGTCACGAAAGTTTCGTACAGTTTGTCGATACCTGGATTGCTTATTTATAATTGTTTATTTATTTATTCAAGGAAAATTATTCCATCCCTTTTATGTCTCAGACACTCTATTGAATATATATAAAAGATAACTTGTTTAGTCATCCTCCTCTTTCTGTCCCTATATTTATTTCTTCGTGTCGTGATCTTATGTTTGCGACGATAATTACCACATTTACATTCTTAACAAGTTTTATCTTATTATCAGCTAGATTTTGTTCCCCTGATTTATTTTGCCCTTTAGTCTCTAAATGTTCTCGATACTGAACTATTAACCTAGTTTCTAGACCATCTGACTTATCGTTGATTTATACTTCTAGATATATGTATATATATACTTCCAGACGTTTCATTCTGTAATTCTGTGACCAACTTCGTAACTTTCGTTTACGGTAAGATTTATATTCGTTTTTATCGTATGTATTTAAACAATAAATCGATATTTTTATTTTAAAAAAAGAATTCTTAGTTCTATATCTTGCGAACGGCTTTTGTGATTAAACCAACCTCGCGTAAATACTTCCGCAACTTTATTTTGAGCCACGCGGTAGCCGAGCCTCGTAATAGGTGAACCACGTGGCCTATTGAAAGTTCGAGCTTTCCGCGTTACGTTCATCGCTACAGCGCAAGCTCGCCACACAAGTTTGGCATTTCCCGGCGCGAATCGATGCTATACTCCAGCTATCCATTCATCCCATTCTGGTGTTTCGAAATACCTTCGCTCCCGTCACCCACGACTGACGATGTCGCAACAAAAATTTAATCCGCTTCTCATTGTCATTGCATCATCGATGGGCAAATAAATTGCGAAAAAAATCTCGGAAGGGTTTCCTAAAGGGGAAAATCAGTCCCCAAACTTTAGTCACATTTTCATGAAATATCAGAGCAATCGTTCCCTGGAATGAGTTAAAAGTTAGGTCTCCATAAGACGACGTCGGTCCCTCCATCATGAGGTATTCGCTGCTCGTGAAAGTGATATAAAATAATCTTATGTAAATTACACCACGCTTCCACGAGACCCTCGAGCAATCCTCGAAGACATTGGCTAGTAAAGAGAACCTGTTCTCGAACTGGTGTCAGGAAGCAGCATACCAGCGTGTCATTCATGAGATCCATGGATTGATCCATGGACATGTTCGGCCTGGGTTCATTTAGTCCGGCTAGTATTATTTATGACGATCATCGAGGTAATCTCGAAGCTGACAGGAAGGATCTAATGTAGATGACTGGGATACAGAAACGTACGAAGCATCCCGTGGCGCAGTCGCCTTGACAACGGCGGCGCCACGTGCATGTATGCGCCGCTTTGCTACGTGTTTGCCAGGAGAGAGATGGAGAGGAAGCCATCGAGCAAGAGGGAGCGAGTGAGTTGCGTTGACAGAACGAGAGGGTGGAAGGAAGAGCGAGAGAGAGAGAGAGAGAGAGAGAGAGAGAGAGAGCGGTGTTGAACAAGGAGAAAGCAAAGGAGTGGGGGATGAATGTTGGTGATCGGAGAGGAGAGAGTAAGGGTAGGTTGAGCACGAGAGAAAACTGCTACGATGTACCGCAGTACGGGGTGGTGAGCTGCGAGCTGGCTCTCCTCGACAGTGAAAAACCAGTGGACTCTAGAGGACAACCCGACATAACCCACAGTGACACGTTATCGCAACTGATCCGTCTGTCCAGGCACTTCGTGATCCGCCATTTCCATTCACGGAAATCCTCGTGCGTTTTCCACGGATCGCGTTACCACGAGTTTTTCCTATCTTCGAACGTGGTGTCCGCTGGAAGGCAACTAGACCGAAAACTTTCGTCTTTCCCTGAGGAATCCTTCGATCCTGGCCAGAACAGAGGCCCTCGTCGTGCGTGCTGATGTAATTGAGAAAAGTTATGGGAATGTCGTAACACTCGTGTGATGTCAAGGCCGATGCAGTATGTGATACATCGATACGTTTCACTGGTTCAACCGCGATGCTCGATCTTTGACACTTGTCCCTGCATTTCTCCGAGGAAAATTTGTTACACTCGCAGCGTTATCGAGCGTGCCGGGGGAGATTTGTCAGTGGCTAAATGCCCCGTGAAATATCCCTGAGAGCTGATCAGCTGATTCTCCGTTTCACCACCGAATGGTAATCGAGGCTGTGAAAATTGTTAACGTGTATCGGTGAACGTCGATGGTCACACGTTAGCTCGTCGAATCGTTGTCGAAAACGTACAGCAGTTTTTGCATTCTTATATTTATGACCTGGTATCGATCAAGTCGAACAATGCTAGGCTTGGTTTTGGAACGATGAGTACGGAGAGCGATGAGGACGAAATAGACGGTAACGTCTGAGTGAATATTCATCGAGTCGATAATAATCGGTCACTGTTTACGAGATAAAGGTCTACATCTCTGTGTTTCGTTTCAAGTGGTACGATCGTTGTTTATACGTGAAGCATCTGACGTCTACGACGAGGTACACCACTGGGAGATTGCTATAACGGCAGAAATCTGGAGGTAACGTGTAACGATAACCTTGAAACACGCACAGTAAATGGTAAGCCTTAGCCAACTGGGTAACGCAAAGCAACAGAATCCATTGATCGCTTCGCAACTTGTCGCAACATTTCTGATAAAACGCTTATGGCTGATTTCTACGTACCGACCGTGCAGTCGGGTACTGTGTAATGATACCACCACCGACAAATCTAATACCGTTAACGGTCATGACCTTCGATACTAACCATCACGTGACTCCGTTTAAGGCAATTGAAATCCTGTCGTGACAAGGAGCTGCTATGCTGTTGGCATAGCGTTGGCCGGTAAAACCGCAGCAATCAATTAAATCACCCCTGAAAACGTCGAAGCTGTTCATCCGGTCCTCTGTATGCCTGTGACATGTCCGCCGCTGCTTGCTGTCAATAAAGAGAAAAACGTATACATTTCCACGACGAGAAGAAATTACGATAATGTGTCAGATAGATAACGATGGTCGTTTGCTACCATCGCAATTCACGCTCACGAGACGCATAACGAGAACCTATTTATCGAATGCAACATATACCTTCGGTGTATTGGGTGCTCACGAAACATGATGTCTATCGATACCATGGCTACGATCACGAGGTTCGCTGTTATTTGACATCGATCGAGGGACAGATAACTGGACAAAGCATTTGGCAGTCGTCAGACCTGCCATACGAGTTAAATTTTTGAAAGTTATTATTAAACATAGGTAATAGAAACGAGTTTACATAGAGGTTACATTTGAGATCGTTGTTGACTCTGCACACCTTTCATAGTCGCGCTAGATTCCTTACTATCCGTATCACTGTTATCGATATACGCGAATTTTGAGACGATTTTTCTCGCCTTGATACCGAACTTATACAAAGAGCATGCATACGTAATCGTAAAGGAGAATATATCTCTCGCACGGAGTAGTCATATACCGTTCGAACTTCGCACTCGTTAATTGGGGTCAATAGCTTCGAGAAATTTTTCAAAAGTACGATTTTATCGACCGAGTCCGAAGAAAAATTTGCATTTCTCGGTCGGGGCGCAATTTCACGCTTTGTCGAACGTTTCACGATACATTTCATAGAACTAGTTCGAAAGTGAATAGCTATTAATTTCGCACGCTTTATTACTGTTATTTTACTCGCAATTAATTAATCGTAAATAGAAGTATAGAGATACGTTATACCGAAGTCTACATGCTGTCAAGCCTCGTTAATTGCATCAGTTCGGAAGTATCCGAGTAAACTTTCTCGATTCGAGAGCAATTTAAGATGGCGTTTTTGAAGAACAATTACCGTTCTCTTTAAATACCCTGACACCTGTCAAGAACATATTACGCAGCCACCAAAGCCAGCCAGATACGAAGAACAGAGAGTTCCTGATACCTATCTGCACTAATAAAGCACCCTAAGATACCCTGAGAAGAAGTAAATGGAAAAGAAATAAAAATTGAACAATCGCATCGAACCATCGTGGTTTTAGATCCCACGCTACCTCGTGTCCCGCTAATCCCTATCGATCCAACATGGCGGAAAAGGATTACAAGTTGTGCCACCGATTTGACTGTTCGAAAGTGATCCGCGATTCGTTGAAGTACAACATCTGGACGCACCGTCTTCCTACGACGTAATCCGCGATGTGAAAGTGAGGAATTGACGATGATGTTATCGGAGGGACATCGTGGATCGATTCGTTCGCCGGTTGAACGATCACGCGCAACAAAGTGAAGGTTCGACCGGGAAAGAGGGAACGTCGGGCGAACGAGTCGACTTTCCGTCACCTGTTCGCCCTGTTTCAACAGCGTAAGCCTCGGGATCCTCTGCGAGGCCAGAACGCTGCCTCGTCGGTACCCCTGCTCGAGATGGGCGCCAGAGCATGGGATTACGAGGCACTGCCGGAACTCCACACCTCGACGGCTGTCACGCCGACCTCCACGCCGCCGAATGCACAGCAGAAGACGCATTCGCCGAGGGTCTACTTCCAGGCAGAGAATTTGGCCTCGACCAGGAGACGGAGCAGCTCCAGGTTACTCGCGCCTCAGACCTCGTGCAGGAGACGCAGCAGGAGCATGAGCGCATGGAGTGACCTGTCAAGATCGTCGTTCAAGCTCGATGAAAGGTGGGTCGTTGATGTTAGAAACGTGCAAGCCGATAGGTTGAATGGTTGAGAGAGCTTGTGTGTCAGTGCGGTTGCTTTATCAGAACTTTTTCACAGCTGATGGTGGCAGTACTTTGATACATCCCCTTTGACACGGTTTGGCTTATAGAGGCGCGGAATATAGTCCTGTCTCTGGGAATACGACTTTTGTTTATGGCTTTTTATACTTGCAAAGTTGTTCTTGCACGAGAATCATGAATAAGAAATGTACGACGATTAGTATGCATATGGCACCAGTTTTATCATCTCTATATTAATACTCGTTGGATAATTAGCTGGCTGACTTTAAACGAAAAGTTACAGCTTTCGGATTTTTGCTTCTGCGGTTATTAAAGCATACAGATGCTTTATAGCGACTTTTATTCCCACTGAATACTATACATTGATTACTATGACAAAAATGTTATTATATGTATCTACTATTTTCGCCGGACGATTTTAGTTGTTATTATCTCTGGTGCTATATTCGTTGCTGTATTATACGGTTATTGAGTATCAATCTTTGGTATTATAAAAAGTATCGTGAACTTTTCATTCGTTCTTTCTCATGGAGAAATTTAAATATAAAATACGTTACTATGGGGCTTGCAGGGAAGCGTAATAAGTTGCATGAGAAAACTTAGTTTTATAAGCAAAATCGACTAAATTCCTAGATTTTAAAGTCACGAGTTTAAATTCGCCAACCGAGTGGTTGCCTCCCGAATATTTCCCGAGATTTTTCCGTTCAGTAAATCCCAATCTTTTCAGAACGTAGAAAGTTAGGCACGTTGCAAGGGTTGAATGTACAACTTCTCTCTTGGGCTTATTTACTTCCCGCATTCCGTAATTTATGGTGAAAGAGAACTTGCTCATTTAAAATTCCCCTGTGTATACGAAAACGAATAACCACGGTTAAATATACAGTTTTCGCGTTCTTCATAAATCTCCAGTTGGTGAATGCATAGATAAAGTGTTGTACGTATATTGCAAAACACGAAGTTCGACCTTTGATCCTTCTCATTATTTGCACGGGTGAAACTGTTTTGAAATCGAAGACGAATGAAATCTCAAATATTTACTCCTGGTCCCTGTATATCTTTTACAGCTTTCATCCTGTTGTAAATACAAATTTACTCGTTGATCGTTTCATCGTAAAATAACCTGCCTCGCGAACCTCGATGGTATTAAAATTAAAATATTAAAATCGTTCGATAATAGATCGATATTACGAGAGTTAAAATAAGCAGAACGCGGAATAAAGATAAATCAACAACATTATGGTCGTTCTCCCATGTAAATCGTTGTTCAGCGGTGAAATAAGTTATTCCTGTTTAACCCACTTCCAGCGTATGCAGATAAATTGCGCGTAAGATATATTAGTATCGTTATAATGAACGCGGTTGCACCGAGTCGTTGGGGTCGTGTCATAATAAAGAAAAGGAGTTAAAAAAAGGAGAGTATTTTATACGGGAATCTTTGATACAGGAATAAATTCGTGACTATATAGTTGCTATATAAAATGCACGAGTTTCACCTCTATCTATAAGTTATTGCGTATGCCATTACCATTTCGTTTGTTTCGTAATGACGGAAGATTTGAGATGTAAATGCAGGATTATGCGAAGAAACGAATGATTTTGTGACATTGCAGTAATTTTCGACTCGTTCGTACGATAGAGGATTTATCGAGCGATTTTATGCAAATTATAATAGGACGTAATAGCAGAAATAATACATACAATACCAGTAGCAAAGAGAATAAAAGAGAGGACGATAAGGAGAATAAGAACGCAATGAAACATTTAGTTTAATCTGCTGAAAATCACGACGCGTTTCACCTAATTTTGCGAATTCAGGTTAAGTCTTGTGGGTTGCTATATAGCACAAGCTGCAACAGCTTTCGCATTTATATTTTTATATACATCCAAGATCGTACGTATAATACGAGCACAGTCGATCCACTGAAATATCTCTCGCATCTTTTATTCTCTCTGTTCTCGTATACTGTGTGCACCACGTCGTTGAATTCTGAGAAAACTCGAAGTAACTTGTTTATTGGAAAATATATAGAAAATACTTTTTACGTGTAAATTGTTGACCATAAATTCTAAACAAACGTACGAATTCTTTTATATATTTTATTTTCGATTCATTTCAACTTCGTTTCAAATTCCTCTGCTCGCCAACTTTGGATTTTTAGGCTTGTTTCATACGAGGAATTGCTACCTTGGCATAAACCCATCGATATTTCATCGCGATACGATTCCACGTTTTGCGAAGCCTCGGTGTTTAATTATTAGCAAACTCCACGGGGATAAACCAAGCTTGTGTCTTTCAACGCATCGAAAACCAATAGCGACCCAACGTACCGTAATATCGAGGAATCGTAATTAGGGATTTCGAAGGTCCCAATACATGCGCGTTCATAAAAAGGTCGACGCATATTCGATGTAGTGTCGCATCGGTTTAATATCGGAATTTCCAAGCCAAAGTTCCTATACAACGGAACTTGCCTGACATGTCTCGTATGTACCACGTATTTCATTTAAACGTGAACGAGGAACTATCTTTCGAACTTCGTGACATTCGTTGTAGGACAAAATATATTCCAAATACAATTTACCCTACGTTATAGGGAATATTTTCAGGTCTAGGACGCATATTAATATTATCTCAGTGAACTGCATCTAATTATAAACCTTCTTTTTAATGGAATATTTTTTTTTCAAAGTATTTTCATTATTTATTTGCATAAGTATATAGATTGTTCTAAGATTATTCCAAGAATTTATTAATTTACAGTAGGTTGGTCTTTTTAGATCATTAAAGGTCATTTATTCTCCATTTAGACGAGATTTGTGTATTTACCGAATTCTTCACGAATTCGCGAATTTATATAATTCGCTAAATTCGCTTCAACGAATGCTATCGTGGGGTTAAAAAATATATTTATATAGATTCTACTTAAAAAATAAATTTGATTCTGAAAACTGGGTCATCGTTTGATCAGTAAGCAAGAATTAATTTCTATCTTTTTTATAATTTTAATACATAATAATTTTTGTAAAAGCAATTATTTTTGTCGAGATATTTCTACATTGCGAATTAAAGGAAATTTAAACAAAAGCTGGTTGAATATATTTCTTGATACAATGGATTTAAATTCTTCTAGTTATTATTCATGCTTTGTAAGCATGTCTCTCTGCTGTTTTCGCCAATGACATGGAGAAATAGCTTGGAAGAACAGCATTTTCGTGTTCAAAACAATTTTCTAGAATGATTGTACACGATGCGTATTTCATTTATTTTCGTTTGTAACATCATCTTCGTTAAATTTGTATCGTGAACGAAGATGCATAAGTTTACTTTCGAAGAACGTTGTTGTGAAACTTCTTCAGCCCTCGGAAGTTTTACATAGCGCGTACATTAATGCTACCGGCAAACATTCATTTGGTAAGTTACTATACGTAGACAAGACAGGAAATGATAAAATATCGAGGGAAAAGGTCTTACTATTTATAAATTATCTCTCACCTTTTTCACGTAATTTGATAGTTCTCCTATGATCTCATTTCCATATTATCGTTCAGTAGTGTCAGAACGTTTTCACATTATATGAATTACAAAATTAATTCCACTCTGTCTCTCCAACCGCTTTTTCCACCGAGATGCTATCTCGTCAAAAGGGAAAGTAATATCTAAAATTTGTCTTTTTCCATAATCAAATTGTAATCCGACGGTCGGCAAATTTTTAACGAATTTATACCCCCTCTTGAAATAATTGAAGTTCGCAACTTTAATTCCAACGATTCAATTTGCCGTTTCCAAAGTCTTATCGTTATTGGGCGAAGCTTAAGAAAAACACAGAATTATTAAGAACAATCCTGGAAAGGAGAAAATTCGAGGAAGTTTGATACTTCAACGAATTTATACGTCCTAGAGATGGAGGTTAATTTAATCTCGTCCGACGGTAATTGCATTAATTTCATTTCAAAAACAATCTTCGCTAACTCCCACGTGAATTCTACGTTACCTGCTAAAGGGCTTTAGGAATGATCTGCCTGGAACGGAAGGATCAGCTCTCTTTATCTCCTTTCCATGGCGCTGTACGCTTATAGCGTGTGTTGGTCTTCAGAAATGGCACGTCTAAGCACCGGGTTTCACGCAGAGCGCGTGCATTTTGAAAGTGCACTTTGTTATACTTTTGCAGAATGTAATGGTAACGGCGCCTCTTTCCGAATGGCCTGGTTGCCCACTTTGTTTCTTGCTTCCACGCTAGCCAAACTGCTGCCACGTCGATAACGATCCCTGGCAAACGCGATACACCCTTTTTTCCACTAAATCCTTTTCACGTCAAGCGCCAAATTCCGCTTTTATGCGGAAGATCGCGATCTTTTCTTCTCTAATCTTTACGCGCATCCTCGAATATCGATTCGAGAAGAATAGAACGATTTATGGGTAACTATACTTTATGGCCGACTCGAGGGAACGTTATAATTATAAACATTATTATCACTATAAATACGCGTTAACCCGAGCTTTTTCCGAGGCTGCATGCTGCAACAAAATGTCGACGAGAAATATTTAGGAACACGTATTAAAATGCGATACGCTATAATTTTAATGGAATATCCAGTGGTTCCTGTAGCGCCATTTTGCACGCGCTGAAAGCTCCCGTTCCCAAATGATATAAGATTTTCGTAATACGTTTACGAGTCGCCCATTAGACGGGCTTTGCTTTACAAATTGCTTTACAAAGAAAATTTGAAACGGGATATTCTTGTTTTCCTGCTTATAGTTAGCTTAAATCCATCCTTGTTAACGCAATTTACGCTTAACCGCTGTTTGCCCATCTCGCGTTGGTATTAAACTACGAATATTACAGTTAGATTAAACATCGTGAATTATGATAATGTGTCGAGATAAACATTGCACAGCTGGTAAAATTTTCGACCTCGTGATTGCAATTTTCGTCTCCAAAATCTTCCAAGATTTATCACTGCCTTCTGCGTCCTTCCTGCTCGCATTGTG